AGGCAGGCTCGTATGGTTAGTAACGTTGATAGGAACAGCAGTCTTTGGCAAAACAGCTGTATCAAACAACGAGGAGCACGACAAAATGGATGGAGATCTGGTAGCCAGGTAATATGCTTCCTTATGTCGATGTATGACTTGGAGAGTACTGTATATTTTTCGATCGCTTAATGTTATGAAGTTCCCAGGTGCTTGAAATTCATGCGAATCAATGATAATCGACTCATATTCCCTACAACGGTCAACGCCAATCCAGGCAAAGGAAATGTTCGACTTGAGGTATGAGATGCTGGTTTTCGTTGCTTACGATGAATTTAATCTAAATCTAATAGCAGCTTCTTCAAATAAGTGCGTGGAATTGTGACATCTTTGAACCTTGTTATTCTTATTTTTAACATTTTTTAAATTTTTTAAAATTTGACTCATATTTTTTCGATAACTTGTGTATATCTTTGCAGCATAGTACAGTGTAGATTTCACGACTACAAGTAGTAGTGAATGATGTCTTTCTGAAGCGTTCGGTAGTTATATTCTCATTTAGGTTGCCTTCATTCACCTGTTGGAACAGTTTCGTCGTGCATATATAATGGACCAGGTATATTCTGTGTACTTTCGCACGCAACTCTATCAATATTCATAGGGCTTCTTGCAGATAACTAAGTCGAGCCCTGTATATGACAAACTGAATACAGAGCTAGGCATTTCTGACGAGACAGACATGCTTAGTGTGATTGTTCAGAAAATGTGAGTAAAAAAGTTCTAGTTTCGTGCTAAGCACAGTTAATCATGGATATTTAAGCCTAACAAATTTGAAATACTGGGCAACAAACGAGCAAATTTTGGAGTTGTCATTGTCTCTTCTGAAAGATCTCTCACTGGGCTATACCGCAGTTCGAAAACTGTTCCGGTTACAGGAAGTTCAACTGCTTCTCAGTAATCATACGGTAAGTAAGATATTTTGAAAACACTGGGAAATATCGTGAAACACAGTTGCGGAAAATTGTGAGGGATGGCATTCAGGCCGAACATTTCGTATTTCTCGGACAATCTGTACCATATTCAACTATGAAACATCGTACCGTATTCTACGAAGCTCTCACACGTCTTCTTACCATTGATCTCAACGATGATGAACAGTTGTTTGAACAGTTTATGCAGCCATTGGCAGGTACGTTTCATGTTATTCCTCGTAGACCCGTCATGGAATAGTAATGAGTAGGATATGGAAGGGATGAGAGACTCCATCGAGGTTTTTCTTTGGCGTTTAGGCTGAAATTTTGCGGGAATCACCAGGAGAGGTAGCCTGTGCATTGAAATCAAGGGAAATGGTAAAGCTGTTACGCTTAACTTCCGATCTACCCGTTCCTTGATCTTGCCAATTTTCACATTAAATTCCTGCTAAAGTGCATCTTCTCCAATCT